GCTTCGGGCAGCGGTCACAACCCGAGGCCAGGAGCAGAGAGGTGACAGGGAGGGGACAAATTCCCAGGCTTCGGAGCTGCAAAGAGCCTTGGCAGCCACCTGCCACGCTCCCTCAGGGCAGCGGTGTGCCACCCAAGACCCAGACAGGTGGCACACGCCTCCCTCCGCCTGTCGTGTGGAAAGAGGCCCCGGGCTGGTCGGCCGGACCGTTTCCTACTGCTGTTCCCAGGAACAGGGAGGTTCAGAAACCGGAAGCCTGGACACGTGCGAGACACAGCAAGGCTGAGCGGGGTTTTGACAGAGAAGGAAACGCGTGCAGGGAACGGATGGGACGTGAGGGTGGTGACAGCAAGGGACCCGACTGGGAAAGACGCTGTCACCAGACCCGCAGTTCGCACCTGCTTTTCCACGCAGGTGACAGAGGACGACAGCACGTGTCGGAGGAGAGCTCAAACAGCAAACTTGCTATTTTTGTCCCCAGGAGCAGACTGACGTGTGGGGATGATGTGACTAGGAGCAGGGCTGACCCTGAGAGAGACAATGTCCCCAGGATCCAGGCAAGGAGGGAGGCTTTCCACAGCTCTCCCTGAAAACAGCAAATACTGCTCTATAATAGTGTCCCCTTTATAAAACTGCAAAACTGCTTTTATTTCTCTTTCTGACGTGAAAGGCATGCTTATTTATGAACTTCCAACTGCATAAAGAACCAAAACTGTCCCTATAATCTCCTCACTGAAATGCGAACATGGTTAATATTTTGGTGTATTTTCATTTCAGGGTTCTTTTTTCCGTGCATTTTTACACAATTGACTTAATACCTTTATGTAACTTCTAATTTCAGTTCCTAGAAAGCCACAAATATGGTCCTGTGTTATCTAGAACTCTCACAACCGTCATTTTTAAGGCTCGCCATCCATTGACGCAGCCAACCATCAGTGCTAGCCGTTTAGAGGGCTTCTCTTCTGTGCCTAACGCTGCACCTCTGTGCATGAATGTTGTCCCTTTCAGAGTGCTTCCCCAGAACAGACTCACGGAGTGACATTCCTGCATCAAACAGTGTGAACCTTTTTAAGGTCGTTCATACGCGATCTGGGGGTTTCATTATATAGAGGGAATTACTAGGGTTTTTATTGAACAAAAGTAGTTTCTCCATTTTAATAGCTTTTCTTTAATTACACAAATACTTCCTAGTAGAAGAAAATAAAATTGGACCATGGGGAGAAAACAGCCTAATGAACTTGAACACCTGCTCGCTCGCGCTCCCCTCCCCCCATGGCTCTGCCCGCTGACCCCGCTATGCCCGTCTGGCCTGAGGAGATCGATGCCAGCGAGACCTTTAGGAAGGACGCTGCTGTGGGTACAAGTGACCTCCGAGGCCCTGCAGCCTCGCCGTTACCCAGGTAACCTGGGATAACGACCGCGAGACACTGCGCACGGTCCCAGGTGACTGAACATCACGTCGGAGACCAACGTGTCCCAGCGGTGATCCCATGACAGAGTCTGAGCGCTGCCTCCGAGGGTCTGCACTGTCGGCAAGCTCGGGGGTCGTGACGCTGCGAAGGCCCATTGGGAGCGTCCCCTACGGGGCTCAGCACTGACTGGGGTGGGACACGGCAGCAGGCGGGTTGTGGGAGCTGGACTACCACCCGGGGCCTCTGCCCCCAAACGCAGCAACGTGAGAGGAATATGAGGCTACGTATCACGAAAAGCAAAACCACCTGACGGAGACTCAGGCCTCACAATCTTTTGAGGGCACAAACCTCATACACGTAAAAAAATCCATCAACACCAAGTTTGTACGAATGTCTTTTACAAGACAGTGAGACGGCGGTGAGAGGTCCTGACACAGGCCGAGGGCCCACGAGGGACAGCCCACCCCCTCCGCCATCTGAAGGCAGGGGCCAGGGCTCCGTGCCCGGATCAGGGGCTGCGGGAGGGGTCAAGCTCACGGGGAGACGCTGTCACCAGGCCCCTCAGCGTCACTCCTGCGGCCCATCACCCCAGGCACAGCAGCGAACGCAGACTGAGGATTACAAGGCAGTGAACGTTGAAATGGTGGGATGCGGTTCTTGCCAGCAGCCCTCGCTCTGCTCAGAGGGCAGTGCCATCTGCGGCTGACCCTTAGATCTACTCCTACAAGCTAAGAACACCACTGCAGAACAGGAGGCTGCCGCCTTAGAGAATGACGCTCAAAGCACCTCATCCACGCGTGAGCCCTGAGTCTCTCCCCTGGGGTTCGCTGCATGAGACCTGAGGCCTGGTTCAGAGCTGCACCCTCACTCAGCGGGGGGTGTCAGACGTGAGAGGCTGCAGGGACTCAGCCACGCCCTCCCAGAGTGGGTGGGACGCACGCTGATGCTGGAGGTGGGGGCCAGATGCCCCGGCCCAGCCTCGCCTCCCAGCACACTTCTCCTGGTTCCTTCTTTTGTCGGCATGAGCGACTTGGCTGGGGCTGTCCCTTATTTATGTCCGTGCCCCTTCAGGTCACTTCCAGAGTCCCTTACACATCACAGGCCCTCAGGAACACTTGTTTTAGGGACTGAAAACATCACCCCAAGTCCTGGGACCCCACGAACAGGTGCGAGCACGCCATTCTCCAGCCCAACAGCCTTTCCTCGTGTTACCACAGTCTGCTCGCAGCGTGTGCTGGTCGCGGCAGAGCCCGGTCCACCCAGAAACGCCTGAGCTGACCCCGGTCACCGCGCCCCATTTCCCCCGACAGGGCTCTTCCTTCGGCGGGGCACACCCAGGACAGCAGCTCCCATCAGTCACTCGCCCCGTTCCTGCCCCTCCTGAAACCATCCTGACACAGCCCAGTTCCAACAGCTCAGACGCTGAAGTTTACGCAGCACCTGTCGCGTTTACCTGGATCATCGTGTGTTTCGCAACAAGCAGACACCTCCTGGGTCTGTTCCCGGCACAGCTCCCTCCACCCATCCCCACGGCACTCCCGCCGCCTGCACCCTAGAAAACGTGACCCCCAGGACACACGAGACAGACCTCCCACCACAGACTCATGAGAAACAGACAACGCGGGAAGGACAGCTTCTCACTCCTGAAGGAAAATCCAGTCACAGTTGGAAATAGAAGTTTTCCTTTAAAGGAGAAATCAATGTTGGCAGCGCTGTTCTCGGGAGCTGCCCTCACGAGAAAGAGCCATTTTGGGAGAGAGAGAGAAGAAAGTGTGAGTGACGGATGGAGAGAAGGAAAGACAGAAAGAGAAGGAGAGAGGAACCAGAGCAACAGGAGGCGGCTCCACGGCGGAGGGACGGAGGGACGCGGGCGCCCTGGGTCCCGCTCGGCGGCCATGCTGACGGTGTCCCCAGGGAGCGCTAACACCCATGAGGGGACGGCTCCTCGGGCTGAGAAACACTCCGTCTGTCAGTCTATGCCAGAGCCCAGGCCCCACACGGGCCACTGAACAGAATTTGGGGACTTTCTCTGCAAAGCCTCTCAGTGCTTGCTGAGGATGTGACACCTCTGACCTCGAGGAGGTGGCCGTGCGCACAGGTCAGCCCAGGTCAGAGGACGGCCCCTTCCCTCACACGTGTTCCAGCTCAGATGCGAAATCCTTTGGTCTTCTTGAGACACACGGGAAACTGAAACTCATCACGTCTCCAAAGAGACGGAAGGACTGGGCCTCGTGGTGAGAGGAGGTGGGGCCTGGACTGTGGGGAGCCCGGTGCTGAGCCAGTTCCCGGCGTGACGCTGCGGCCACCGTCAGGGCGTGGGCAGCATGCAGCTTCACACGCCACTGCTGCACACAGCACATGCCTCGGAGACTGAAACAGTCGTGTCTGGAAATGGCCCCTTAAGATCGGGCGGCAGGGAGCAAAAGGCCACAGCGATCGTTTCTGGAAGGTAGAGCAGAGTGACTCAGATAAATAATGTTTGAGGGATCGCATGGCAGAGAGAAACCCTGCAATAACTTCTGCTCAGCGGTTAAGTGCAGCCATGAATTATTCACCCTGAAATGCATACGTGAAGGCTCAAGTTCAGGCCTCTCAGCGCTCAGGTATAGAGCCAATTGGAAGGGAGGGAGATGGAGGGAGGGGAAAGGAGTGAGTTCCACCGCGCCGCGCACTCCACTCCGTGGGGAGAGGGGACCCGAGGTGTTTTCTCACACAAGGAGCCTAAGGAGAAGTGGGGTGGGGGTTCCCCAGATAATAAACAGAAAGGGGTGTGTAATCCACTGAGATCTGACAGTGAGAGGAAATATCTGGGGACAGGGCACTGTCCCCTCCCGCCCGCACCCTGCCCTCACAGGAGCTCACAGCCCACGACACGTCATTTACTCAGTCAGCAAGGGACATGGTGAGTCTGTCCCCTGGGGGCTCTCCCTGGGCACGTTCCCTGCAGCCCTGTGCTCGGTGCTGGAGCTGCAGACGTGAAGGAAACACGGTTCCCGACTCCGGGAGCTCCAGGCCAAGAAGGTCACAGACTCCTGGGGCGCTGCCAAGTCCCACTCAGACCAAACCCCCTGCCGCAGAACCCGTGACACGTGCCGCACGTCCTGGACCCTCGCGGAAGCCCTGCTGTGCGCCGTGCTTGTCTTTTTTCCCCGACTCCCCGAGCTCGGTGTTGCCTGGTCTGCAACATCCCCGGGCCTGACCAGAGGACACTGGTTCTACGACCCGGCTGGTGGGAGTTCTGTGTTATTTTCTCTAAACCACCTCAAATTACTGCTGGACGGAGGCAGCTTCAAAAAACTAAATAAACACCACTGCAATCCTGGCAGAGGCCCCGGTTGACCCAGGAGCCTGGAGGTTCCCGTGGGTCCTGTAGGGGCAGGGAGGCCCCGCTCTCGGGGGCCTGGAGCCAGGATCCCCAGGAGCACCCGCGATCTGGCTCCGCGAGGCGTGACCAGGAAGTGACATGTAACCCAGGTTTCCTGTGACACAGCCAGGGGCTCGAGGGGGCTGCCTGGGAGCAGGGGGTTCTCCTCCGGCCCTCACCCCCAACCGCACGTGGTAACACAGCGTCGGGCGGCGCCCACTTACATCAACAGGTGCAGAGCATTCTCTCAGGGCAGCTGGCCTCTGTTTCTCTTCAATTATCGCAGCTTCTCTGCTTCAAGCCACAGCCCTCGGAACTTTCTAGAACACCGAACCCCAGACCAGTTGTAGATCTTCCTGTGTGGAGGGAAAGAAGGAAAGCGATATGTTAGTTCACACTTCCTGCTTCCCCTTTCCCTCCTGACATTCCTGTCCCCCGCGGTCCCCAAGCACCCCAGTGACGGATGGGCAGTGACGCAGCCTCATGAGACTGTTCACAGTTACACCTCCTGATATTTATCCATTTGGAAATGAAAACTGAGGATTGTTAATTCATTATTTATTAATTCAGTACAATGAAAACCGCATGTTAACACAAATAATAATTTTTTATAAAACAATGAGTCTTTTCAAAAAACACTCAGTGAGAAGAGTAAAATGTTTTACATTTTTAAAATCCCTTTGCTATCTGGCTAAATCGAACACAGACTCTCATATCTGCCTCTGGATTCAATTTGCTGCAATACCGAACGTCAGTTAACCTCTGGAAAACCCCAGCGCACACTCATGAGAGAAAGAGGAAAACAGGCAAAAACACCCTGGTATCATTATGAAACCAGTTTTGACCTTGTGGGTCCCCTGAAAGGGTCTCCCGGATGCCAGGGGACCCTACCGACCCTGGGCCGCCACCCCACACGGACCAAGCCAGCCTCCCTCCCAGCGGACGCCCGTCCCCTTCTTCAGGTCTAGTTACCAGCCCCCGGCAGGCTTCTAGAACAATCCTACACGCATTCAGCACACTGTGCAACGCACCTCGGCGTTTCCGCTCTCCGGTTGGGGCAGCTGCGTTTTAGGTCAGTAGCTCGCTGACTCCCTTCCTTGCCCTGTCGTGTCCACTGAAAGGACACACCCACGGTGACCACCCCCCCAGGGGGCTGCGGGGGGGCTGCTCTAAGGTGCCGGTTTCGTCAGTGAAGGGGACACGTGGCCACACAGCAAGAACAGTGTCCCTTATCTGCACAGCTTTCCTCTGGCTTCTAGTTCCCCACCGAGGCAGCTGAAGTCTTCAAAATTCAAGAAAACACCCAACTTTTGCTAGACCGCTGCCCCTTTATACCTCACTGCTCCAGAAAAACTCCCATCAACCCTTTCTGTGCCTATTTTTACAGGAATGTTTACAAACATCAACCTCCCTTTGTTCCTGAAACACTCCCTGTCCTCAGTGTCACGTCATCGTGGGGGAAGGAAGTGGGTCAGGACCCCCGTGTCCCCAAACAGCTGTCTCCCTGGGTACCGAGGTGGCAAAGGTGACTCGGTCAGCACACAACTTCTCTGGCCCGGAGGCTAAGGGAAGCCTCCGCTCACGCAGCTAGAAGCAGAAGCCGACGCAGAGAGTGTGGGGTCACTTCCTCGCTGAGATTCCCCAGCTGTGTGATCTTGGGAGCAGCTCAGCTTGGGCTCGCCTGCAAAGCCATGTGCCCATCTCAAGGGCGTGAAGAAGCGTACCTGTGCCTACACACAGTAGGTTCTCAGGCTCAATAAGCGTCAGGCCCTCCCTTTATTGTCCTACAAACAGGATGTGGGACTGACCCTGTGTCCTGGGCTGAGCTGGCTTTTCTGGGAACTCCAGGCTCTGGTCTCCCAGGAAGCCTGCAGATGTCGGGGGCTGGAACAAGAGAAGATGGTGATGCTCCCCCCTCAATATAGTGGCATCTCCTGAACACTTGTCTCCTGTCTGCCTCCCTGCTCACTGGGCCAGGGGGATGACATGGCGTTCCCTGGTCCTGTCTCAGCCTCCCCAGCTGCCCCTGAAGCCACACAGGCCAGTGTGGCTTGCATTTGTGGCTCACAGAACCTGGAAAACTCCACCAGGCTTGGGGGAGCCCCTCAGGGGAGGATGAGGAGAGACTCACTTGTGAACAGTTCCCAGGAGTGGAACTGTAGCTGTGTGGAGCGCCCACACCCCGGGGCGGGCAGCTAGCAGGTCTGGGTCAGAGTCCCAGCCAGGCCTGCCCGCCCCGCCCACCTCTGAGCCGCACCACACGGCACCCCATCTGGAAAGGAGTCAGCCGGCGGCTCCCAGGGACAAAAACCGCCCTCGCTTGCAGTTAGCGACCCCCTGACCAGTACTGTGACCCAAATCAGAATACTTCAGGAAGTCACCCCTCGACCAGACACAAAGGCGGGCCGGCAGAGCACCGGACACCGAGGGTTCCTCCTCAGGTTTAGATCTGTAGGTTAGTTTATCTCATTAATACTTGATTATATTAATTATTAAGATCAGTGGGTTGTTTCATTATATAGATTGTTTTGAATAATAGGTTAATAATTTAGCATCAATTTACCCCAAAGTTTCTAGCTTCCGGTGCACAGCGGGTGTGCCATAGGTGAAACAGGACATGGCCCCGGCCCCTGCGGAGGCGGAACGCTGTAAACATGCGTCCTGGGCGTGGGGACGATGAGACAGGAGAGGCTGAGGCGGCGAGAGGAGCAGTCAGGCCCGCCACCCACCCAGGGAAGAGCTAACGGCCGAGGAGGCGCCGTTTGAGCGGACTCTCGAAATATCATGAGAATGTTGTCATCTGTCCCAGGAAAGGGGATGGTTTGAATGGACAAGTTATGGGACAAAGACGCCCATCACAGGTGGCTGGAAGACGGGAACAGGTAGGTAACTGGAGGTAAAGCTGGGACACGGCTGAGCCAGGGACCCTGACAAGGGGTGAGTGCGGGGACGGGGGAGGGCGGGCAGGCTCCGAGGGGCTCTATGCGGCCTCACCTGGCCTGTGGGCAGCGCAATGGGGCAGCAGGACCGTAGTAACGATGTCAGGAGGGGAGGAGGAATGCCGTGCAGAGGGCTGAGGGCTGGCCAGGGACTGGCTGCCACCGGCCAGACGGGGTCCAGCCTCGCGTGCCCAGGCACACAGCGCTGTGAGCAGGACCGCGGAGATCCGGAAGGGGAGCGTGAAGAATTGGTTTCCTGATGACAGAAACAGGTGCGCACATGAAGCAGAGAAGTCAAGTTTGGCCGAGAGGCGGTCAGTGCTGGACACACATGTGAGGCAGAGAGGCCTGGCCAGAACGAGGGGACAGAGCATGGCCGGTCCGAGGAGGCGGAAGAACGTCTCTGGGAAGAGACCCAGGACACGGAAAAGCCGCCCTCTCACATCATCCGAGTCCCTGCTCCACGCCAAGTCCCCTACTTCTCAGGTGAGGGACGCAGGCCCTCAGGGCACTTGCAGGAAGGGGCCCGGCACACACGTGGTGCCCGGCGGGTAACACACGGCTTCCGTCTGCCTCAGCCCCTGAGTCGCAATGCCGTGTCACCAGTGTCCTTCGGTCACTGGCACGGCTCACGCCCACGCCCTGTTCTAAATCCCATCACGCCACGTCTGGACGGGCCGACCGAGAGCAGCCTTCTCGGGAGCCTGCCTCCCGCCCCCACCTCGGCCCTGCAGCCCGCCCTCCATGCTGCAGGCGCCTGAGTCTTCTCATGACTGCGCTGGACCTGCTGCAAGGGGGAGGCAACACCCACAGCCCCACAGCACGTGGAATTCTCCAACGTGCCTGAACGCGTCCACACAGGGCTGTGCTCCGGGCCGGGCAGCCTCCCCAGCCCAGGCCGGAGTCCTCAGGCCAAGCGCACCGGCCACCCGGCCGTTAGGAGCGGCCCGAATGCCTGCGTTCGGCTCTTCCTGCCATCCGGCTCTGTGTGTCCTACCCCACGTCTGCTCCAGCTCGTCCCTGAGGCGCGGACCTCTTGTGCCCTCCGCCCCGACACGCACAGAGCAGCAGCTGACACACACTTGTTTCCTGATAATAAACCTGGGAAGGGGAAAGGCGGCTCCTTTGTCTGTTCAAGGTGCTTGGTGCTACTCAGAAAAACTCTTGCTGACCAAGAAACGAATCCATATTGACCTCAGAACTGAGTTAAGCAGAAAACATCCCGTCTACCGAACACCAGGGAAACAGCCCCTTTCTGGGCCCAAAGGCACCCAACCTCTCCAGCTCCGTCGGTCTTAGTTCTAGAAACGGAAAAGAAGATGGGTCCTGCCCGCCCTGGGTGCCCGCGGCTTCCATCCCTCTCCTTGCTGTCGCCTTCCTGTAGGCCCCTTGCCATCCATGACTGACCCTCCAGGAGCCTAAATGGTGTGCAAACCTGCAGCTCCACCTCCAGGGGTCTGGCAGCGGAGTGTCCTCCCCAGGCGCCTTCTTGCGGACAGATGATCCTTCTTTCATTCTCTGAATTCCTCGACACCAGTGAACAAGTCCTCCAGACATGAGGGGCAATGAAAAGCCACCGTGCTCCCTGATGCACCCCGAATGCCGTCAGAGGGACCCTCACAACAGACCCGCCGAGGGGCTGTCAAAGGTGCAGGTGCAGGTGCAGGTGCAGGTGCAGGTGCCCGGACACGGAACAGACGGCTTCCTCTTTCCCAAGTCCGGGTGGCTCCTGGGTCGCATTCTCGCACAGGGCTCTCCAGGTGACTGATGGCTGCCAGCATCCCGATGGAAAGGCCTAGAAGGAGACCGCTGTGGACACGGTGCCTCCTGCAGCCAGACGCTCACTCAATACCAAAGGGGTGATGTGGGGGGAGGGGAGTGGGTCCAGGGAGCCAGCTTACATTTGCACACGTTTTAATAATGTCCAGACAATCGACCATCCTAACGGGCGGAAGGCGTTTTCCCTGTGAAATGGGTCCAGGCCCGGTTTGGGTCTGTAACACCGGGTTCCTCCGACAGCGGAGTCTGCTGTCTCCCTTGAAAAAGCGTGTCCTGCCTCGTCACCACGGGTAGCAGCACAGCCTGCTCCGTCCCAAACTGAGTGGAGCCACCGAGAAAGCTGCCCCCACGACCGCACAGCTGTCCAGCCCCTGTGGGCAGGCTGCCCCTGCAGAGGGGACAGGAGAGTATCTGGCCTTAGGAAGCGGGGTTGTGGCGGGGTGGGAGTCACAGAGTTCTGATGACGGGAAACAACACGCCTGGTCACTGTCGCCTAACCCTCACACACTCACAGGAAAGTGTCCTAGCAGCCCGTGACGGGGGCGGCCATTCCTGATGCCTGCTGTTGAATCAAGCCGTGTAGCGTAAGGTGGTCGTGGGGTTTGGAACGGCATCACCGTGCTTTCCCCGGCAGCCCTGAGAAGCTGGCGCTGAGAAAGTCAGGAACAGGTGGGGGTGACAATCGCCGACTCCCACGGGGGCTCCCAGCCCTGAAGGTGTCACAGCACCTCCCCCACAAGCACCCACAGGCACTCGGCCCCCATGCGGCCTTACGCAGAAGCACACGCCACCAAGTTCCCATCCTTTTCATTAGGACCGTTTCCACACCTTTTTTTCCAAACACCAAATATCAAGTTTCCAAAAGAAGCTGGAAGTGGCCCTGCTAGAGCCTTAAAAACCTTTGTGTAAAGCAACACTGTGAGTGTTTTGTCCATGAAAGCTCAGGGGGCAAAACCGGGCACTGAGCCTGTCGAAGTCCTTGCTCAGGACAGCACAGACCCCACAGGGGACGTGGGGACTACACAGTGTCCTGCAGCCACACTGCTTCCTCGGCAGAAACGCTGGCCGAGCGGGACCCCCAAGTTCACACAGACAACCCGGGAACATGGCCCAGGAGGAAGGGTGCTTCCCTTCAGGGAGGCGGCCCCGAGACTGAGTATCACACAGCCGCGTGGCAGAGCCACTCACACCCCTGCCTGGTGCCTGGTGGTCACCCCTGGGAGACCCGCGCACTCAGCACCCCCGCAGCTTCAGAACGCACCATGTCCAATGTCTCTGAAAACAGTGATGCCGAAACGTATTGCCGTTGTTGCCACGACACACATACGGAGGCGCCGGTGCAGAGGGCAAGCGGCTTTGCCAAGCGGTGGGAGGTGCCTCCAGAACTTGAACCTGGAGCCCAGCTCGTTCCTAGCAAAGGTGAGCGCCCACCCAGCGCCCAGACACCAACCCAAGAGACGCCCTCTCAGCCCCTTCCCCAGATCCAGACAGACCATCCCAACACAGACGCCTCTGAGGGGGCCGGGCCGCTCCCCTGGCCTGACCCCGCTGTCCTGAACAGGGGGAGGGCCGTGCTGCTGCCCAGCCTTTCAGAGCCCAGGTTTCACTTCTCTTCCCAAGAAAACATTTATAACTAAGTAAGGGGACGCGTGGTAACTGGGCTTGAGGTGACCATTCCACAACGTATACAAACATCGAATCGTTATGTTAAAGCCTGAAATAAATATAATAACAGGTCAATAATACCTCGACTAAAAACAATGAAAGGATAAAATGCAAACAATCAAAAGGGCGCAGTTTTAGAGTCAGACACCCATGCGTTCCTAACTTATTAGCTGCATCTCTTTGAGCAGCTCAGTCCACTTCTCCAAGCCTTAACGTCCTTCAAATCAGAGCAGCGCCCTAGGGAGGGACCTGGGGACTCGCGCCCGGGAAGCACGCAGGGTTGCGGCCTGCAGCCTGGGGCAGTTTGAGCGCCGTCTCTGCGGCTATTCTTTCCACAGCGACCATGGAACCGCCGCCGAAGCTCTGCGGAGAGCTGGCGCCCTCGTGGTGACGCTAATTGAGCTCAGCCATGAAATGAACGCAGAGTGGGACGAGCCTGGGATGGCAGCAAGAGGCCCTCGGCCCCGTCTCAGCCCCACTAGGAACATGTCAGCCCCTGGGTCAGCCCCGCATGGTGCAGTGGGGCCAGATGGCCTCTGGAAGGTTCTTTTCAGGACGCTGTGTTCCTCTCGGGGAGGACGTGAGGGCCAGCAGTCAGCAAAATGGTGCTGAGGCCCCGCTGGCTCCACAGGGCGGACTCCGGCCTCCAATCGCTGGCCTGACAGTGTCAGCCACTTGGAAAGCCCTCCTTCCCCTTGGATGGGGCTCCTGAGCCCCGGCCAGGACTCCGCGGTCCCAACTGCAAACAGCCCCACATCTTCGATAACAAAGGGAAAGGCACCCCAGGCCAGCGAGGCGACGGATGAGGCCCGGCAGTGCGTTTCCCCGTCCGGTCCACCCAGGCCCCCCGCCGCCCCAAACCTCAGGGCGAAGCCGCCCCTCGGCCCACGCTGCCCTTCTCACAATAAGTCACCACTCCCCTGAAAAAGCGAAAGGACGAACACTGTCCCCTGCAAACCTCAGGACCCCCCAACGCCAGCCCGGCTCCCGCTCGCCGGGAGCTCGGCCTGTCTCGTCTGCCAACGGTTTCAGCTCCAGCTCTGTCGCTGTGACGTGCGGCTGCGACGGACGGACGCCCCGGTGGGGCTCCCACTGCCCTTGGTAGTTAGTGCCCCTTCCTGTTCCCTCCAGAGCACCAACCCGGCCTCCCGGACACGCAAGCCCACGGACTTCTCAAGCCAGGGGGGCCTCGGCCCCTTCCCTTCGTCGCCTCACTTCAAACCCCCTTCTGCCTCCTTTGTAAACTTTTTCGGAGACGCCAGAAGTATAGTCAGAGCTTTCGTTTTCGGAAAAGAAAAAAACATGAAGGAGAAAACCCCCACACACACATGTAACTTACGCTCCTCCAGGCGTGCACAGCTGTGGAAGGAAGAAAACGAGCTGGAGTCCACTGCGCTCCCCGGCCCCAAAAGGAGGGTTTGTTGTGAGACGCTCCTTTTTCCACTGAGCCGGTGGAGGAGCCCGGTGGCGGCATTCACCCACAGGCTGATGCAAGACGCCTTTGAGAGAAACCTTGCATTCTGAGGATTCCTGGGAGCGCGCCAGGGAGCCCGGCATCCAGCGTACTGCACATTTGGTTTCAATTAGGAAGGGGGTTGGGAGGGAAGGAGGAAAGTCACCAATCAGAGCGGTTTTCTGTTTAGAGACCATTTCTTCTGACCCAGGGGACCACGGGCAAAGCTATAATTTACAGCAAAACCCATTCATAGAAGAAAAACTACGTATAACCAAAGGACGGTCTTAAAGACATAGCGCCCTTCCGCCACATCTCCAAGCCCTCCCCTCCGCCAGGGCCCTGGGCCCCACCCGGCGACCCCACCTCATTTTTCTTACTTGGGCTGAAGCTACAAGCACAGCTTAAGATTTGGATTCTCTTCCAATGGACGCTTCCAGGACAGTTGGGTCATGCGCATGGCGTCGATGTTGGGTTTTATCCGTGAAAGATCAGGGCTGAGCCCGCCCCCGAGAAGATCTGAGTCAATCCGCACTCCCCCACACACACAACCCCCCACCAAGAATACTGGACACTTGCAGAGTCTGAGACCCGTTTCCCCTCAGTTCCCAGGTGGCTGCTGCCTCCAAGGGTCTGCTGCTGTGCTGGATTCGTGCTGCTAACTGGAAACACTAGAGTTTACAAGGACTTCTGTTATTTTGAAAACCTTTTCTTTCCTTTTTCCTCTTTTTATTTTTTTTTCCTATCTGTGGCCATGGCCAGAGATCATGTGAACGGGGAGTGCAGGCCCCTGGAGGAAGCCTTCCTCGGCTCTCTAAAGGATAACTGATAATCGGCTCCATCCATCTGGGCGCGTGGCCTTAACCCTTCGGAGCCTGGATCACACCTGACCGAGCTCCAGGCTGCCCTGGAGGTCTGATCCCCTGTGAGCAGGACCAGGACCGACAAGGTCAGGAGGGGCTGGGGGAAGGCGGATGGCAAATGGACGTTAGGAGACCTCCCCGACCTTGGAGACACAACCGCCTCATCGGGGCTCCTGAGCCTGGGCATCGCCTCTCTGCTCGCCCTCACAGGCAGTCGGGGCTGCACAGCCCCCACGATGAGCAAAAGGCGGCGGCGAAGTGCCCGGAAAAGGAGGGGAGGAAGGGGCTGGGGGGTGGTCCCCCCGTAAGTTTGGAGGAGGAGATACTCCTGAAGAGGAGCAGGGGGCAAGGAGCCCTCCACTGGATGGTCACAGGGGCCCAGCTGTCAGCGTTAAAGCCCTAGAAGGTCATTCAGTTCATCAGAAAGCGGCCTTTCGTGCCTGAGCGTCACCGCTGGGGGACACAGAGGACTGAGGCTGCTTGGAGGCCCACACCTCAGGACCCCTCCCAATGCAGGAAAAGCCTGTAGACGTTCCAGTAGAATGTCATCCAGACTTTCTTTGCTATCTTTTTCATAGCACCTTCTTAGAGGTCACGGTTAGGCCCCAGACTTGGCTGAGGATAACCTGAGTGGTGGACATGGTATTTTTCTTAGAGTGCCTCCTACGTCTGACACAGCTCGGATGCAGTCGGGCTATCTTCTGTCCCTTGGTCCTGTCTTCACTTGGTGGCTCTCCCCAGGAGTCTCCTTGGTCAGCACCCCAACAGGTTCCGGACAGGGCTGCCAGCTCCTCACACAGACCACAGCTGTCTGGGTTTGGAGCCCTACCACTGGCTCAGGCTGAAGTCCTCGTGACACATCATGGACAGACAGCCCTGCCTGTGGCGGAGAAGCACCTGAAAACCGGTGTCATTATGCTGGACACATCCTTGTACTCACAGGGTTTTGAGTGAGGCTGGAATTCCTAAAACTGTGGGAACAGGGGTGGAACATTACCATCCTGTTCCTCTGTGAACAGATTTGGCCCCTGGTTTGGCTGGGGGAGCACAGGTCGCTGCCATCAGGGTGGGCTCCGCGGGAGACACGCACCTCATTACGAAGACCCTCCCCAGTAAGCGGGTTCCTGACAAACAGGATGGCGCTCCGCCACCTGGACCCGACCAAACACAGGCCAGAGCTGTCTGCAGTGGTCAAGATGCACATAGCTAGAAGCAAGGGAGCCTGCAAGACGACTGCCCAAGGCGCTCTCTGGGCGACGGAGCATCACGTGGCTACAAGTGTTCAGAGCTGAGATCATGGTCGTGTTTCTGTCTCCAAACGGCTGGGGGATGGACAGCTTTTGATGCCTTAGGAGGTAAAAGGAGCGTAACTAACAGTTTAACACACGCGCACACACAGTCATACATTTAAGCTTCACCAGGAATAAAACTAGAAATTAGCCCCAGTAAGCCAGCACCTAGTTACCTGTCTTTTCTCATCTCTCCCCTGCCCGTCTCTGCACAGCTTCCTTTGACCAGCGTTTTCAGCCACCCAGGCTTTCCGCTTCTTTCACACACAACTGAAGGTGGTTTCCCTGTGCCTCTGTGCTGGGTGTGCGTCTGCTCCCTCCCTGGGATCACGAGGGCGGAGTGGGTGGGGACAGCCGTCTGTGTATCCCCTGCAGATCGCTCACTCCATCACTTCCCTCCCTACCCTCTTGTCTGCTGAAGCCCATCTTTGTGTCACTGAATCCTAGCACCCCCACCAGTGTGTCTGTCCTGAGTGTCCCCTGCTGCCATCTGTACCACATCCCTGTCCACACTCTGGTTGAAGGGCCCGCCCCGCACATGACACGGATCTCGGAGCAAGCGCAGCTCGAGACACTGTTGTCCCCAGACTCAGGCCCAGTGAGGGGCGATCGCCTCATCCATAATGACAACCCTCCTCATGAAACCTGAGGACCGGCTGCCTGGCTTCGGGCTGGGGTTCTTCCAGCATCTGTGAAAGGAGCAACATACGCTCCACCCCCAAATGTCTTGTTAGGGGTCCAAGAAGCTCGGAGAGTCAAAGGATGTGGAGGTGAGCCTCGCTTTTAGGGCTGCGCCCCCTTTCCCCTGCGCCTCGGGAGAGCAGTGAGGAGTCTGCGAGGTCCTTTCGGGAGGGAGCCTGTGCCTGACTCTTAAATATCATCTCATCCCCCAAACACCTCCCTCTGGGCCTCTCTGCTTCACATCCTCCCCTCCTCTCTCCACGCGTAGCTCCATCCCACCATCCTGAGTTACACCGTGAGCACCACCTCCCTGTTTCTAACACACAACATACCGCAAAGCAGGCGGGGTTTTAGTACCAGAGCTCGTTTCCATGTGCAATACCAGTTTGCAATGTCCAGGAAACTCCAAGTGCCTTCAAGATAAAGCCCACATTCTGATTCTGTGCAGCCCCGTATGCTTCGGGAAGGCTCAGACATCAGTCTGCGATCGGGATTTGCGGGACTATACTTCCCAGTTAGTTTACTGCCAAGCCTTACCACGGCGCTGCTGCCTCAGGTGGTACTGGGCACCATCACTATTACAGTCGTGCCATCGCCCATTCCCTTTATGGCAATTGCTCCTAAGTGCAAACTCGACCACTTCCCTTAATGGTCTTTCTGCCCCGTCCAGACTCCCAGCCCTTCCAAACCCAAGCTCATCGGAGCCTTAGTTCCCGTCAAGAGCTACATGGTCCCACTTGGAAACTATTAAACTGTGTTCCTAAATGTTAACACGCCTCCAGTGTCTCCGCCAGAAATGTCCCCAAGACAGGGAAGAAGTCTCAGTGTGCAGCCACAGAGCGTGTTCCTGGCTGGGACCCACAGTCCCTCCAGGAACCCCCACCCGAGGCACCCTGGCCCTGAGCCTCAGTTTCAGAGCCCCCTAAGTGGCAGCCCCTTGTCCCTCTCGCCCCACCTGTCCACACTGAATATTCAAATGAGCGTCTCCTCCACCAGCCTCAAAAACTCTTAAAAGTTGGTATTATGTCCTGTTCATCTCTGTATTCCCAGGATCTCTGGCTTGTGGTAGGATTTCAATCCATGACAGCAGATTTATAAAACATGGTAGAAAATAAATACCACGAATCAGGTCCAGATCAAATGTCATAAGATTTTAGAGGAAGAGAGGGCCTTTTGTTAAATAGATCACAGAGTCTTCACGGAAGAAACAGCATTTTCAAGGCCTTGGAAAATAGTTACAACTTGGAATTCCAGGCAGATAGAACCAACCCAGCAAGGAGGCCCAAGCCAGAGTGAAGGCCACATCCTAGAGGCCAGGAAAGGCCGACAAGGTCCCAAATCTTAGCACCTGTGAGCATCGGGGGTACAGAAAAGAGGAAGGCATGCCCACTTGACAGCTACAGCAGGAGGAAGGAGCAGGTGCCTACCTGAGGTCGGGGAAGATGACAGCAGACTAGAGAGGGAGACACAGGACCAGGGGCTGCCGTCCTGAGACTGGGATAGAGAGCACCTGCCAGGATGGAGGGATGGCTCTGGAGGAAAGGAAGAGCCATGGCGGAGAAATGGCGTGTATACAGTTCCACAGCGACAGGCAGAGTGACGAGATAGTGGCGAAGCTGTTTTACGGTGGTTTGCGGTGGAACGCGGCTTCTCCAAAGGGGCAGAGTGACATGGCTAAGGGCATGACTCTGGTACCTGCACACCCGAATTTAAGTCTTAGTTCAGCTCCTTGCTATCAGAATGACCCTGACTCACTGACTTCGCCTCTCCGTGCCCCAGTTCCCTGGTATGTGGCTTGGAGAGTTGTTGTGAAGAATAAATGAGCTAACAAACGTAAAGCAGTTACAGCAGTATCTGCCTCGTGGTGACCACTCGGTAAACGTTAACTAGCTAGAATATAAAAGACAGAAAAAAATACACATGGAAATGTACAGGAGGATGACTGTCAAGGAAATTAGGACTCAAAAGTACAGGATGACCAGGGCTTATACTGCACCACCAGGATTGTCTCTGAGTCGTAGAACAATGTACCTTCAGCCCACTGAGCCCACCTGCTCCCCACACACATGCTGCCACATTCTATAGGTGGGGAGACCTGACGCGCAGAGAGAATAAGCAACTTGGCCCCTGGTCACTCTGGTAACAGGCACAGGGAGGACCAGTCTCCCAATTCCTGATCCAGTATAGAGCCACCATCTCACAGGAAATGACACAAAGGTGACGCAGCAGCTGATCAGAACCTGAGTGATTTACCCAAAGAACAAGAGGGATGCGGGGCC